CACTGACTGTTGTATTATTTTCTTGCACTTTGTGGCGAATGTGACCTTCGTTGTTACCATTTCAACATCTGGGTTCACGTCTCTTCGGCATCATGTTACGAACTACTTTTAGTACGATTTCCTCCAGACGTTTACCGTTTCGTTCGTCACTCTCTTTAGAGGTTCGTACTTGATAGCTCCGTGAAACTCGACTAGCTATCTCATGTTCCAAGGCAATGGCGAGCGCTTCATCTAAAACTTTCGGTCTTGCTAGTCGTAAGGCTTTCTGTAGTTCATTGTCTCTCAACCCATTGACGAAGGCATCTACAGCAATTTCTTCCAAAATGTTGTCTGGTGCCTCTGGATAGGCCAACAGCCCTATACGAGCAATATCTGCTTCAAATTCTTGCAAACTCTCACTTGCTCGTTGGATTCTACTTCTTATTTGTACTTTGTAGACTTGTTGTAGATGGGCATCTCCGTAACGTTTGTCTAGTCGAGTGAACAAGGTCTGGTAACATTTTTCTTGACCCTTAGGAATCGATCTTAGGATATCTGCAGCATCACCTCGTAAAGCAGCAGTCAAGGAAACAGCTTTTTCTTGTTCTGTCCAATGATTGGCTGTCGCAATAGCTTCAAATTGTCTAATTTATATAGACCAAGAGGACTTTCCATTAAATGGTGGCAATTTGAATCTCATATGATGTGTCGTTTCGTCTCTCGGTGATTCTTCTTTTACTACCGGATCTAAGGCTACTTTATTAACTGGTGGTAGCACTTTTGTGTTAGTTATCATTATCTCTAATTGTTTGATCTTCTCTTCTACGTCTTCTATCTTGTCGTTTACATTTTTCTGTATCTTATCGAATGTTCTTGAGGCTTCTTCAAATTTCTCATTGTTTTGGTTACATACTATATTCTAGAACATTACAACCTCTAATTCTAATTCAGTCAAATACCTCACGGATTGTTCTCTTGCGGTCGAAAGATCTAGCAATAATTCTCGATGCCCGAGATGCTTCGAGATGCAACTGTTAGGCGGTCCACTATTTGTTCACTATTATTTTTAAGTATATTGAGTATATATGGAGTTTTTCTCAAAAGAAAATGAAATTTATGAAAATTTGAAAAATTCTCATTTTTTAAATCAATTTTTTTTTCAAAAATATGCATTCTAAACCGGTCAAAATTTTTAATGTCATTAGTTATGCTAAAATAAAGAAAGTCTTATAGGAATTACTGTAAATTTTAATTTTTGTCGAAATGGCGTATGTTTTATTTTTCACCTTTTCCAAAAAAATTCGAAAGGGTCCTCTTATGTTCATCATAACTTGCCTTATTTTGATGCTACCAATTTCTTCTATAGCTCATTTTATAGGTATTTTTAAGTACTTTGAAAATTGTTCAATAAGTATATTTTATAAAATGCATTATTTTCCTGAATTATTTAAGCTGAATATTCAAATTTAAGTGTTCGCCGAAAAAAATACATTTAATTACCCATAACTCACTTTGAATTAATATTAAAAGGTTTTTCAAGCAAGAAATTTATTAAATTTTTTATTAGCTTCAATTTTCGTAATGACAAGTTTTTTACAAAAACATAGCATTTGAGTTATTTATGAAAAACCGCTTTAAAACATGCATTTTTTTCACGAAAAATCAAAATCTTTGATTTTCAATAACTCAAAAAGTATTGATTTATTTTAATAAGTTTATAAGATAAATTTTATTTAGATCTGGTCCCCCTATCGATTCCTGGGGTTATTTTAAATAAAATAATTTCCACCTCCGAGAAGGGGTGGCATCCACCTCCAGGGTAAAAGCGCAAGTTGACACTATGTCACTTTTGTTTCTTAAGGTATCCTCTAACTACTTAAACTTTCATGAAAATCGATGGAGGTTCAACGAAATCAGAGTGAAAACCTTCAGTGACTGTACTATAATATACAAAACGCACAGGCAGGGAAATAAAACAGCAACAACAGGAAATGATAACCAACAAAATGAAACTTTAAATTCAAACACTAGTCAAGAATGCAGAATCGCCTAGAGAACAGTTTTGCATTTTTGTATATACGAAATAATAAACGTAAATCCTACTCCTACTATACTCGGTTCCCTATTTCCAGTCCGAACTGTCTACTGAATTTAGTGATTATTTTTTTGTGAAGTTAGTTACTTTTTGACAGACTAAAAGTGGCTGGAAAAACTATACAATCAAGCACACGTAGTCATAGCCAATATTAATAGTAAACAAACTAAATAATAAATAAAATATAACTTTACGAATTACCGACAATCAATATTTATTTATCTGCACCATACAGTAAATGGTTATGTTAAATTATAACAACTAAAATATATTTTTAAATATATACTACCCAAAATTTGATGGGTTTAGTATGCACTTCCACTATTTAGAATAATTCTTCTGTTTTCAAAGAAAGAATTCTGCAATACTAGTATACTTGAGTTGAGCTCTTAATACTGAGAAGTATCGTTAAAAGATATCCTATACTATATAGCTTATCTAAAACGAAAAATTAAGAACTTGTTCATAATGAGGTTCATAAAATAATAAAAGCAACTATATCAAACGATGTCTCATTCGCGACGCAGTTTTTAAATGAAAGTGCTTGCGAAACATGTTCATTTATTTCTTATCTCAGTAATTAAGACCAGTATTCTAATAAAATATTTAAGGCTGTTTTCGCAGTTATAGCATACTGCGATTTGAAGTGGGCGTATCACTTAATTTTCTACACTGCTTATGTCAGACCCTACGTGACTTCCTAACTTGAAATCTGCAGTTTTGATGTTTATTCAGTGGCGCCGGCCCACGGGTTGTTTAATGACAATAAATGCATTATTCTCCATTCAAATTAGTTTTGTCGGAATACTTTTTTTTATCGTCGATAATGTTTTAAAAAGAATTAATCACATTTTTAATTTATATGTCTTAGCTAAACATAGTATTAAATAAAAATTTGTGAAACGTGACTGCAAAAAACACCATGGTGTTTATTTATAATAAATTTAAAATAACATAAGAATATTATTATCAAAAAAATTACAATTTGTTGTCACAAACAAATAAACAATTTCGCAGTTATAGCTTGAAAATTATTTCAAGACGTTATTTATGTGTTAGAGAAAACTGATATTAGCGTAGTAAAAATTAAACAAAAAATATTTTTATTTATCTATAAAAAATTGGTACCTGCGAAACCATCATAAGAGAAAATGTATTTATCTGGCAAGTATTTCGAGGCGACGCACTGCGAGGAAAAAGTTCTCTGAATGGAATATACATTATTTTAATATATTTATAGGTTGCAGTTACATAAGAAAAGTATTCAATTGATGAATAAAACACAAATCGTGGATAGTTATTTCATCATCATCAGTGGCATTACAGCTCGTTATGAGCCAAAGCCTTCTTCAGAACAATCTTACATTCGCCCCCGCCTCTGACAACTTTCTCCATGCTTTAACTCCGATGGATTTTAGATCATCCTCTATGTTATCTTGATACCTAAGTTTTGGTGTTCCTCTGGATCGTCTTCCCATTGGTCCTCTTCGGTCGAAAATTTTTCTGATCGTTTCATCTTCATCTCGCCTAATTACATATCCTATCCATCAAAGGCGTACTAATTTAATAAATTTTACAACGTCAGGTACTACACCTGAAGAAACATCGTAGTTTACTTAATACGATCTTTTTGACCAAGCACCATCAGCTATAACGGTTATTAACCCATTTCCGTCGGAATCTACTTCACCAATTTCTTTGGCTAAAGCTAATTCCTCCCGTCCAGCCTCTTCTAAGGAATCACAAAGTGTTTGGTCCATGATATCTGCAACTGTCTCCGTATGTTTTGCATACTGCTTGTAGGACATCACAGGTATATTTAATGCAGCGTGCTGCTGCTGCTGTATGTCTGAATAACCAGAACCATTCAAGTTCAGTGAATTGTTACCAGAATCCTATGTTGCTATCTCCTTTTCAATATTCCACATTTGTACTTATCAATCCGTCCATTTTTTCTTTGATAATCTCCATACTAGAAAAGTTGCATGAAAATGGAGAATGATTACTCAAACCTTGAATAGATTTAATGAAAAAGTTTATGTCCACTATTCTTCTGCCTTCTACCGAAAAAGATGTTTTTTTTTGCGGAGAGGCAATCTCAACTGACTGAGAATGACAGCTATTACTAGAAATAACGATAAAATTTTAAGTATTTTCTGCAAATGATATTATTTGTTATTATTATTATTTAAGAGTAAAACATTGGTAATATTTTGACCATAAACAAATAATATGTAATCTCATGAACCCTTTATTTACTTACTTTACGGTAAGTAAATAAAAAAAAGTAAAAAGGGTTACTTACGAATCGACACTACAACTAGGTAAAGTAGATGTTTCTGCTAATTCTTGATGAAAGGAACTATTTGATGAATAATGGTATATATATTTTACAATTCCATTATATATATCCGGTTTTTTTAGGCGTTACGCCCGTCCGGTAGGGATCTATGGAGGAGTATCACCGAGCCGCAAGCCCTTATCTCTTGCCGTACTGCTCCACCATAGGCCGATCAGATCCCAGCATATCCTAGTCTAAGCCGCAGATTCATCTAGAATTTTAAACTGCTGCGTTAGACTTTTTGTTTTCTGTACACCGAGCTGGGGCTCGAACCCACATCCACTGAACCATTCGACAGTGAAGCGAATGAGAGGCAGCCGCACAGCCCGCTGAGCTATGTGACCGACATTATATATATATATATATATATATATATATATATATATATATATATATATATATATATATATGGCGCATGGTATTGGTATATTGTTGGAATACATAGAGAGGCCTAGCTGTTAGCAAGCGATAATGACGTTTTCGTTACAGTATTTGTATTGCAATAAAAAAATTATTGTTTAAAAAACCCTCAAATACTAGTATAAAACAATGATCTGCCATTAAAATATTTTTATTTTGTTTCAGATCCTGGTAACGCCCCACAAAATTATCAGCAACCACAACCAAGTAAGCTTTTATTTTCCAATATACCATCATTCATTTTTTTCATTTGGAATTTTTAAAATAGTTTAAAACTTAATTATTAGTGGATAACACAACTAATATCGTAAAGAGGCTATTAAATTAAGGAGAGGAAATTACGTGCACTAGCGACTTGAAGAAGACAAACTAATGTAAATTAAAAAATGTAATCTAAAATTTATATTTTCAAAAATTTTCTTTTTATAATTCCTAACTGTTTTCCCTCCAAACAATTAACCACTTGTTGTCAGCTTTCATAGTCTCATTCTTAGTTGTGATTTAACTTCTAAATAGGAATTCCTAATCTCTGGTCTTTTTTTATTTTGAAGATACTTCGGATCTTGTTTTCTGACATGTGTTGCGTTCTACACATACGATGACCTCAATATAACAATTGGGGCCATCAGAAAGGGAAAAGAAGATATTCTGTTCAATCCAAAACTCGCTGGTTTCCCCCTTTCGCATTGGGTATGTATATTAAAATAAAAGAAATGAAAGCCAGAGGACTATATAGAATACATAAATATCTTCTTAAGATGCCTTCTCCATTACTGAAGGTTGGCTAGAACTACAGCAAATTGCTCTCTATCTTGAGCTGTTCTTGGTGTCGAATGTGTGTCCATACATGTCCAGTCTCTTATATTCTTCAATCAGGAGCATTTCCTTCTTCCTGGACCTCTTCATCCCTCCACTTTCCCTTCCATTATAAGTCGTAGGAAGTTTTTTTCTCCTCTGTAAATATGTCCTAAATAACTCGTTTTTCTGTTTATTTTACAATATTTAGGAGTTCTCTCTCAGTAACCATTCTTCTTAGCACCTCGTTTTTGGTCACGTGCTCTGTCTAAGAGATCTTCAGCATCCTTCGAAAAACCCACATCTCAAAGGCTTCTATACGCCTCATACTTGTAATTCCAAGAGTCCATAGTCCATTCCAAGATACTGGAATCTTTGTACTTGTTTTATATGTTTGTTATAGATACGAATTTTAATGTCGATTGCGCATAATACGATGCACATTTAGTGCACGTGTAACAGCCATTATTTTTGTTTTATTTGTATTGTAACCTCGGAAATCTTTTTTGGATGGTGCTAGAAAGATAACCAATAGAGACACTGCGGACGACAGCCAGATGGTCAGTCAGTCAAAGATAAGAGAAGATAGAATCAGGGCGCCACTCAATTTTTTGGGGTTAAGGAGAAAATTAAGAAACCTTAGAAAAGAAAAGAGATAAGGAAAGATATCCTTCAGGGATCAGAGATCAAACCCAAGAAAAGAACAGTTAATTATCAAATAAATTTGGTCAACACAATATATAAACAAATAATAAATATATTAGGTATTACACTTACTTACCTACGAAACTTAATCAGCCTGATCTTTCTACTGGTCAAAGGTATAGTAATAAATTAATATAATAAGCTACTATTTTATCAGGGAACTTGTTAGGAGCCGACAAATAAAATACATGCATAAAACATTAACAATATATTAAACATAAAAATTATGATGCTGCTAAATGCAACACAAGTAATAAAAATACACAACTATGAAATGGTGTTATATATGTATAAAATTTAGCAATAATATAATAAAAAAATACCTTTACCAAGATATATAAGGCAATCATCAAAATATAGTTTGGCGTATAGCAAATACAAAAGATAGCAAAAATTTCTTAACTCTAAATTTACAAAAAAAAACAAACAGGTTACAGAGTTGAAAACATTAACTAGCCAAACCGCACTTGGCTAGGTGGGTTACTATCTCGCACTATTAATTAATGCTAAACTGAGATGTTCATAGTTATTATTTATGGAAAGTTCTTAAATTGTTCTCTAAATTAAATATAAACATCGGCAATCTACAGATAAAGATATGGATGAATAATGGGTGATACGTCCAGATAATGGCAGGTGGTATGATACCATACCATATTACTCGCCCAGATAATTTGTAGATAAAGATTATGGTAACTTACATAATTTCTGATGACGGCAGCTTAATTCACTGAATTTAATATACTGTACTGGTATTCAACACTGAATTTAATTAGGTACCATTAAAGGTAGTGTAGAACTATATATAACTTAATATAGTCTAAGACAAGAAAACTGAAATATAGAGTGTATACACACTTAGAAAATAATTCACAGAGACGATAATTTCAGGCAAGCGATCACACTCAACAAGAGGCCACCGAGAAGTCTCACGAGATAATCGACCTGTGCTCAACGAGAGCCCACCGAGAAGTAAGTTGGTTCCACTAAAAATTTCAGTAACTATCCAAGAAAAAAGAAGAAGGTTTATCCCCCACTTAAAATCATCGGACAGTTGTAGGTAATTCTGAGGAAGTAAAAATTCCGAAAGTTTTAAGTTACCGGTACCAACGATTGGACATGAAAAGCAGACAATACTTGGAATTAAGTTATTGTCAAAAGATACGAGCCTTCGGCGAAAATTATCAATTTATGTAAAAGAACCTGCATACTCAAAAGCATTAGATCTTTTCATACTGAGTATTAAGACCTACCTTTAGGTAGGTAAGAAAAGGATTAACTACCTTTAGTAATTGGGAAAGTCCATTATAATTTAGTAGATCCAATATTATTTTCTTATCGTAAAACGGGAATTCCTAATCATCGGCGTCTCGCACGGGGGTAAAAGAAATTAAAAAAAATTAATAATTTAATAATAAAAAAAAAATGTTACAGTATTTATATTTAGTCCCAAGCTATCTCCCTCTCTGGTAATGTCATTCAAATGTCATTGTAAACCCTCAGCACTGTCCGCAATAATGACGGTGTCGTCTGCGTATCTTAAGTTGTTAACGTAGTCTCCGTTGATTTTTATTCCGTCTTCAATATTTTCGAGGGTATTTTGAAAGATCTTTTCGGAATATATATTAAATAACAGTTTACAAAGTACACAGCCCTGACGAACTCATCTTTTTATTGGCAATTCTGCTGTCAGATGATTGTCTATTTTAATCGACGCCATTTAATCTCAATATAGTTTTTTAATGAATGTTACAGTCTTATGGTCTATACCATATTGTGTTAGGGTTTCTATGAGTTCTGTGTCTTCTATGTTAGTCGATAAAACAGAAACACGTCTCTTCGCTGATCTTGGCATTTTTGTAGTAATATCTAGAGGCCAAATAATGCCTCCCTTGTACCAAGCCCCATACGAAATCCAAATTGTTTGTCGCTCAGGTTTCTTTCGCATTCTCTGTATATTCGTTGATGTACACTTTTGAGTAAAAATTTCAGAAAACGGCTCATCAGGCTAATTAATCTGAACTGAAAAATAAAGCATCTATTTGCTTTATTTTTCTTGGGTATAGGTATAAATGTCGATCTAAGCCAGTCTTCTGGGAAGATTCCAGTGGTATATATTTTGCTAAATAATATTGTTAACGTCTGAAGATTTTCTTCATTGATAAGCTTAAACTAAATATACATAACCCAATATACAATTATAACTAAACAAGAGTTTATACAAACTCAAACATTATACTGTGAAACAACATCAAAAGATAACCATTTAAGGGACCGAATACTGATGACTCAAACAAAGCACCAACTACGACGTATGTAACAACTAAAAGACAAACCTGATATAGCCGCAAACATACTATACATAAAAGATAAAAGACCAATTAATTATATTACAAAAAAACAACCTAATTATGGATACATATGTCAACGTTATACAAAAAATTAATAATGCAGTGCATACAAATAACACAGGTTTACAAAAAAAATATTTTTCTAAATTGTTTGGAATTTCATAACTGATTTTTATGTATTTTTCAGCGCTGATTGCAAAAGTGCAATCCATTTTTTTCTATCACGTAAGGTTTTCTCACAAAAGAGGAATTACTTTTTGGTATAATAACAAAATTTTAGCAATTTTTCAAATTTTTTCTTAAAAGGATTTTAAGTACACTTACATTTCTCTTTAAGCTGATAAGTCCTTATAGTACCGCTTTTGCTTTCCGTCGAAGCTTCTTTTATTGCTTTTCCAGCTGTGTACTCGTTGAAAGTCATCTCGTTTTAGCATCCAGCAGTAGTCAGCTATCATTTTGACGTTCCATCTTCCTTGATACCTTCTTTCCATTTCCTTGATATCTTGGTGGAATCTTTCACCCTGCTCTTCACTTACATCACCAAGGTTTGCAGGGAAGTAGTCAAGAGGAAATGAACTTTAATGCTCATGTTACATCCCAGCTTCTTAAAGTTGTCGAGCATGTCTGCGACGATTATCTTGTAGTTAGGATCTTTTTTGTTTCCTAGGAAACCGGCAACAACTAGTTTAAAAGATGTCCATGCTGCTTTCTCGTTTGTTTCCATTTTGTCTATAAAATTGGGATCTCTCCTCAGTTTTCTAATGTCTGGTCAGACAAAGACTCCTTCCTTAAGTTTTTGCCTCGGATAAACGAGGAAACTGTCCACAAAGATACCTGAAATACTCCCCTTCTTTTGGCAACGCCTTTACAGATTGTTTCATTAACCCCAACTTAATGTGGGGTGGTAGTAGTAATACCTTTTTGGGATCCACAAGGCTTTTCCTCTCAACATTTTTGTAACAACACCCACCTGTAAGGTTTTTCTCAAGGGCCAAACTTTTTTAATATAGTGTTGCTTTCTGTCTCTACTGTCCCATTCACAGAGAAAGCAAGGGAACTTTGTATAACCACTTTGTTGACCAAGCAGCATTGAGATCACTTTCAAATCACCACATAGTGTCCATTTATGGTCTGAATAGCAGAGTTTGTTTAAAACCAGTTCGAGGTTTTCATAACATTCTTTCAAGTGAACAGAATGTCTAACTGGCATAGAAGCATACTTATATTGCCATTGTGTAGAAGCACTGCTTTAAGGCTTCTTTTTGAAGAATCTATAAAAAGTCTCCACTCATCAGGAGCATATTCTATTTTGAAACGTGCCATAAGTCCAGGAACATCACTGCAAAACACCAAGTC